ATATAGGGGAGTATTCTAGGGGTTTGTTAGGGGGGATACTTGGAGTTTAGAGAATAGCTCATATGGGGACCATATACAAAAGGTGTGGTAGAAGCCTGAAGAATCAGGGAGGGCTGTTCTCCTTTAGGGGGTTTTGTGGTCGTGGGCTGCGGAGTAACTGTCCAATAACCTTGCTGATGCCTCGTAGGGAATGAGGAAATGGTTCAATACAAAGTTCCTTGCAGTCATTACGGTACCCTATGTACTATAGTCTAAACTCCTTAAAGGGGGTATATAGGGGGGTTATATAGGGGAGTATTATAGGCCTTATTAGGGGGGATACTAGGAGTTTAGACTATAGCTCCTATGTACCCTCATGTATCACCCAACCCCTTTGGCAAAGCGAGCTCAATCTTTGCAAAACCACTGATGCGTAGAATCCGGGTATTTCACAGCTGTTGTATTAATCTCCTACTATTTGTGAAGCTTCTATGATTATATATCTATGGTCTTTATAAAGAAATTTATATATATATATATATGTGTATATATATATATCGGTATATGGTGGGGCAGTATCCAACACGGTAACTCACTCGGCTCTGAAAGGCTGAGAGCTAAAAGTCTGGGAATGAATGATGAGAGGGTCAAGTAAGAGATTGTAAGGCCATCCCCCTTAAAAATCCCCCCCAAGGGTCCAAGGAGCTAAAACGGGGCTGCGTAGGGCTTTAAAAGGCCGAGTGGGGTTTAACAAATTCTTGGGAGGGTACTCTTGGTTGGGGGGGGATAGTATTGTAACCCCTGCTCAATGTTTCAGTTCTTTTTGGAGGTTTACCGGGCATTGGCTTTAAGGTTTAGGGTTGATAGGATTTCGAGTTTGCCTTACGACTTTGAACCCTTTATAGCTTTCTTGCCTGGATGGCTCAGGTCAGCGTGGAATTCTGGAGGACTTTGCAACAGCTGGCGACGACCGCAAGGACCCACCTGAGCATGTAGGGCCAAGTAGCAAGAGATCTAAAACTCCTATCACATCATGTACTTGAGCTAGCTTGAAACCAGAAGATTACAAAGCTCAGTCCTCATGGGCTTAGATTTCTCCCTTAAGTAGATATTCTACGGCTTTGGGTATATTATAATAAGATCCCCATATACCCCATATTCTATCTACTTAACGGGGACTATAGTAGGGTCCACCATTGGCTGCGTGGGTTGCCGGTTTAGGGTAGACTCAGCGCAACAACGAGTGAGGCAGAGACTTGTGGCACCATTCTATGTTGAAGGTCCAGCATCTAGGAGGAGAAACCTCGAGCTTCAGCCCTAAAGTGCGGAGCCTAAAGCCCCAAGCCCGCGCCCCTACAAGCTAAAAATTGAAAGCCACAATCCCTAAACTACACCCTAAACCCCAACCCCCAGGTTGCGACCGACCCGACCTGCTAAACTCCAAACTTATGGGCCTGTTAGGATCCTACACGGTTTAAGGGTATAGGATTTAGGTGTTTCAGCATGGTGCAAGATTTCCTCCACCCAGCATACACTAGAAGTCCATACAGGATGAAGGCTCTCAAGCCTTCAGACACGAAGAAGCAAACTAGGGAGCTGAGGATCCTAGAGCTTTGGGAGTAATCCCCTCCCCCTAATA